GCTGGCGCCGGGGGAACTGCAGAAAGGGTGTGGCACGAGGACCGCTCCCCAGGCTGGGCGCGACGCTGCGCACCGACTCCCTCTGCAGCCGCCCAGACCTCAATAGGGCGTTTCCCTCGGGAAGCAGCTGCTGGAATCCTGGCAGCCACGTGCCAGCAGTCAAACCTTGGGCCTCAGCGCTTCATCTCCAGCATGAGGCTCATCACCCTCTTCTAGGATTGTCTGGGAAATTCAGAGACCTGTGCACCGTAAGCACGCAGGTCAGTGCCTGACACGTGGGAAGGACCATACAAAACACTGGGTGAGAGCTATCCTAGCGGGGCCTGAGTGTGCACCACTCCCCGCACTGTGGACGGGCAGCACCCACGGCTTTCTGCCCGCTCTAAGGCTGCCTGCCAAATTGACTCGAACTGACTCAGGCCCCTCTGCCCTCAGGCACTAGGTAGTCCTGGGAGGCGAGGATCCCAGGTGATAAGATAAAGGCGTGGCTGGGCTGAAGCCCTGGTAGGGGTAGGACAGAGTCAAAGAATGCTGCTAGAGAGGTTGGGGGGTGGGGAGAAGAGTGTAGAGGGATACACTGAGGCTGAGGGGCCAGGGAGCAGGAAGTCCTAGGTTAGTCCAGGGATCAGAAACCCGAGAACGAAAGAGGGAAGGAATGTGTCAGCTCGAAGCTTGATCAGCACATGCTGTCCTTTCTAGGCAGCACACCCAGGAGGGACAGCACCGTGCACAAGGGTCAGCGCCCCTCAGGCCACTCTCTCAGAGTCCGCGGGGGGTGGGGGGGGAGGAAAAGGAGGAGGGAGGCATGGGGCAGAGGGCCCAAGGGGACAGAGAAAGCCACGAGGGCATGCACACAAGCCATGGCCCTGTGCCCACAGCCTTGACCTCTGGTGTCGGCCTGGCATGCTTCCAGGACTCCAACCCTGGTGTGAAGGTGCTGAGAGAAAGCGGGTGGTAAAAACAATCCCAGCTGCAGAAGTGGCCTCTGGGGAGGAGAACTGTGCAGCTGGGAGCACAGGTGGTGGGAAGGAGACTTACCTTATTACTGTTATTATCATTATTATTAGTGTAGAGTAAAATGCACAAATCATTTTGCAGCCCTGTGAATGAATAGATAGAAAGATAGATAGATAGATACTAAACCTTTGTATCCACCATCCAGATCAAGACTTAGAATATTGTCATCCTTTCATCACTTCGCTGCAGGTAACCACTATTTCAACTTCTGTTACCAAAGACTAGCTCTGCCTGTTTGTGATTGTCATATACCTGGGTTTATAGTGGGTATTCATTTGTCTGGCACCTTTTTCTTAACATAATAATTGTGACATTTATCCATATTGTTGCCTATATCAGTAGTTCATTTTTGTTTACTTGCTTAAGTGTGTAGAATTCCACTACAAATACAACATAATTTAGTTGTCACCCATAGGAGACTGACTTTTTTAGTGTTGTTGTTTTTTGTTTTGTGTGTGTGTATTTTAAGCTGTTTTACCTTTTTAAAAAAATACATAGTTTTAAACATGCTTTAAGGCAGTGGTTCTCAACCTTCTGGCCCTTTAAATACAGTTCCTCATGTTGTGACCCAACCATAAAATTATTTTCGTTGCTACTTCATAACTGTAATGTTGCTACTGTTATGAATCGTCATGTAAATGTCTGATATGCAGGATGGTCTTAGGCGACCCCTGTGAAAGGGTCGTTCAACCGCCAAAGGGGTCGCGACCCACAGGTTGAGAACCGCTGCTTAAGGGGGGAAAAAGAGAAGTTCCAGTACAGAGAACTAATTTCTAGGAACATATCAGACCCACACATCGCCATGTGGTTGTAACTGTAGAGGCTCTAGTTTCATTTGCACCCCCTGAAAGTCTCCTTGTAGTGACAGGAGCCGGACAGACTGCCTCTGAGGCAGGCGCTGTAGGACTGCAGGCTCTGAGCAGGGAAGCCTGCGCCCTGGGGGCAGACCTCCCTCTACTGTGCTGCTTGGAAGCATTGTGGTGTGAAAGTGGTGAGGAGCGAGCCCCTCCCCTGCTCCCCTGCTTCCTATCTGGAACTTCCATTTCATGTTTCACTTAAAGAAAGGGTTCTACTGCTTTAAAAATTATTTGAAGCCCATGGTTTTGGAATAGATGCTGTTTAGAAGCATCTCCTGTAAATGATTCCACCGATCATAGCCCAGTGTAAAAGACCACATTCTGCCTCCAGGGCCCTCCAGTGCAGTCCCGGGCTTCTTTGCCGCTCCCCGAACTGGCAGCCTCCACCTCAGGGCCTTCGCACTTGCTGCTCTGTCTGCGGGAAATGTCTTTGCCCAGATAACCACATTTCCCCGCCTCGCTTCCTTCAGGTCTTTGTCCAAAAGTCGGATTCCCAGTGAGGGACCCGGTCACCCAGTCTAAAAATCTTGAGCCATGCCTTATTCCAGGGACCAAAGATCGGATAAACAAGATAGACTTGATTCCTAACCTTTTGGAGTTCACATTCTAGTTGAGAAGCCAAACTTTTTACAATTAATTAATTATAATTGTGACAGCTGCTGCAAAGGCCAAGTACAGGATGCAAGGCCAGAGGGCAGGGAGGGAGAGAGGGAGGCCCTGAAGAAGTTCTGTTTCCTAGGGGAGGAGGGTAGGAGGGGAAGCGGGGAGGAGGTTCCCGAGGGCCAGGGCGCTTTGGAGGAGCTGAAGGCCAGCCTCTGGGCTGGAGCCCAGCGTCCCCCGAGGGAGAGGAGAGATAAGGCTGAAGAGACAGGCTCTGGCTGGGTCCTGCAGGGAGGGCAGGCTTAGCTGGGAATGGGGTCTTCATCCTGAGTACATGGAAGCCATTGTCTAAGTAGGGAACATCCTGTAGAAAACTTTTATGAGTATATTTGTGCCAAAAGTGACAACAATTGCTGAAGCAGGATCTCAAATGTTCTGGAGAATAACAATTTGCATTTTCTTTTGTGCATTTGGAAATAAGGTAGGAACATAGGAATATTACGTGGAGGTGAAAGAAAGCAAGGTGGGGATTAGATTCCAGGCTAGTTAACATTAGGTGCTCTCTCAAGGGATGTTAACCTGGCGTTTTAAAGGTGCAGTAATCTCGATGCTCAAGAACAACGGGCAGGGCTGGCTTAAAAACCTTTCACTGAAGAAGTTATAGGCCTGAGGGTACTACCCACCATGGCCTGCCCAGTTAGGAATCTATGGTTTTGTACAGCACCCCCTTTTTATCCACAACATTGGTAAGTTTGCCAAGAATATTTGTCTACCTGGGACTGTCTGCAGTCTACTTTAGTGATTGAGATGCTGGGAGAATGCAGAGCCCTGGGGAGGAGATAGTGAGGGAGACTTTAGATTGGCCAGAGAAATGGACCAGGAAGGGCAGCTTGCCTGGGCCTCCTTCCTTTCTTTTATTCAAGAAAGAAGCAAAAACTACTGGTGCCTGCAAAGTCAGGATCTGGATTATTATCAGCGCAGCATCCTCCTGTCTTTATTTGCAAACATTACTCCCAGGCAGAAAATGTAAATACTAAGACCCGGACTTTGAACCTTAGGAACAAGGAACACCCAATAAAGTTATCATAAACAAGTGAAAGCAAAAGGCCTTTCTCCAAATAGCTCAGGGCTTACACCACCCCACCCTGTTACACCTTCTTATGGTCTGAGTTCCAAATTGTGGTTTGGGGCGGGGTTTTCACCACTCTGCAGTGAAATGAGAAAACTAAGGGGTAAATGTATAAATACTTGTCTACACCCAAGTAAAT